TTAATTTAGTGATGATTACACGTTTAATTATCCGGCCTAGTTATGCGCAATTAACATATGTAATTGAAAAACGTGCAGTTTTATTTTTATACACATTTCTTTTAATGCGACCTGTCCTGTCTACATTTTTAGGGGGCTCGTAAAACGTACTTCATTTGAACTTCAGTCTCAGTTAATTCAATTTACTTTAGTCGGCCGCATGCACTGGCACTTCTAAAGATGAAATCCTGCTAATTTGATTGGAAGTTTTAAATTTTAAACTCTTGGCTGACAGTTCATATGAAACACAAATATTACGTAAATAAATTATTTAAACGTAAATGCATGCGCGTTTGAATGGCACAAAGCAATTTACAAACACAATTTTAAAAGGAAAGTTATGTTTTGTCGTTCAATATTTGCTTATTATCTGTTTTATTTTATCATGCTGCAAATTATATTGACAATAAATGGAATTTACAATTCGGAGAGAAATATTGATTATTATGTCTTATTAAATTAATATCTATCATCATAGACAAATTCAATTCAAACAAAGGTTTGTATTGAGTCTTATTCTTCATTGTCTAACCAGATGGAATATAAGTCATAATAGAAAAATAAATTTATAAGATATCTTCAAGAACCTAAAGAAGTGAATTCGTTCTGCCTAAAAAAGAAGTTTTTTTATATTAAACGGATGATTAACAATAAATAAAACAATACTTTAGAGTCATTTATTGTTATTCGTTTTTCTATATAATTTTGTATTCAATTTATTTTATTTTGATATTTTTTTTTAATAATAATAATAATTTATTGGCCAAACATCAATACATAAGAAAAAAAAAGTACAATTTATACATAAATAAATTTTAACATGCATTAAAAAAAATATATTAATAGGCTGGCCATTTGAGGAATATATAGTTACAATCTATTACGGAAAATAAATTAGACGTATAAATTTAGTAAAATAAAGATGAACATACAATATAAACTGACAATTATTCACTAAAAACTGAAAACGAACATTATATAAGCAAAATGTATAAATAGTACATGTAATATAATGAAAAACAATTTCCTCTATATAAATAAAAAAAGAATGAAAATTTGGTTTGATTACTTCTGAAGGAATTAAAACTTTTCACATATAAAAAAAAGATTTGTTAGATCGTCAAACGAGTTCTGCTTGTATTGAAATCAGTCAAATTTATTGTTCAAAAGGATTTTTATATCGTATAATTGCATCTCCTTTAGTATTACTAATATTTTATTAAGTTTAACTTCTTCCATAGGTTTATAGGATGAAGTTATTACGTTTGATAAAGAGAGCCTTAATAAAGAATTAATAGTAGATAGATTTACAAGACCTATCATATTAGGTGATTTTGAAAATAAAAGTAGCACTACTTATAAGATTCGGTCGTCTGTTTTTCGTATATTACATTATAAACAATGCTAATAATTCTTAATAATGCTAATTTCCCGAGATTTCGCTCTTGGGAAACACCCACCACGTGTCACCTAACATTCAATGAAAATACTTTAAGAAATTTAACAGACTATATAAGATCATATAATTTATTTTTGTAATAATATGGTCATTTGATAAAGGTGCTACATAAAGGTTGCGTCTAAATTGGTTATGTAATAAAAATAATTATAATAACATAAGAATATAAACACATCAGAATACTTCCAATTAATTACCGTAATGTGTTCAGTATATTTTTTATTTAAAATTCGATAAAAGTTTAAAATTGTAAGACGTATCCCAATTTTTAGTCGATTTTTCTATATAGTAATGTATCACTCAAGGTTCAAAAATAGGTTTAGTCTAGTATTCTATTCCTACTATATATTTTTTCTTGCAAAAAATCGAAAATACGTTGTTGAAGGAGGAAAGCATAAACAGAGAGAAAGGTGCAAATTGCTTTTTATGGATACGCGTAAACATTTGTTTGTCGTGCCGAGGTAGAAAAGGAAACAGGAGGGCGCGCTAAAAAAAAAAGTTTTTAAGGCTTCTTTCTCCTTTCCGTGCATAATCGCAATTCTATACGTTATCCGGCGCTCCCTCCGACTACTTTGCATCTCTCCTTTCCATATACGAATACACACATTTACACACACACATATATAGATGTACATATTCTCTTTCTTGTCTGTTCGCAGTGGTATTTCTATGTGGAGCAGAGGGCGAAGGCCGAGGAATGGAAATGCCAGCCGAAGAGGTGGTTGTCCCCTGAATTGGAACGGGACGAAATCGTCCTGGGTACTTGCACGTTGTTCGTCCACAGCTCAATTTCGGCCGTACTTAGTTGCTATATCAGCAACGGCGGTTACACGACTATTTACTACGGCCTCACGGATTATCCCCTCTGGTGGACACTTCTGCAGATCCCGATCCTCTACGTTTACCAAGTACACTTAGCACTCGCTTTTATTGCACTATAAGTAAATTTTATGCGGCGACGAGAACAAAAAAAAATGAGTAAAAATAAAATAACAAGAAAATAAAGCACGGGAAGAAGGATTAGATTCAAATGTTGTGTTATGTGATGGCGGTCGTAAAAGGAGTCCAGTGTCTCGTGTATTTATGTAGCTAACGTAGCGATTTTTTTTCGGGTACGGGGATGGCCTTTATGACCCAAGCTTCCAGGAGCATTCAAAGTACCTCCTTACAAGCTGAAACACACATAAAGAAGAAAAAAACCTATACTACTACAATGAATTCTTCCAGGGTTTCTGAACTAAAGATATTCAATCAAGCCAATCTAATTTGTCTTCGATCTCAATAAAAGTGTCAAAAACGTGAGCATAAGTCGATCACAGAATTGATTACATACATATACTGTTAAATTAACTAATTATGTCCTATAAGGCATTATACAGTATTCAAATTATATTTCTTATTGGAATTGAAAAAATTATATCATAATGCAATAGAAAATAAAGATTTTAAACTGCTATCACATAAAATAAGAAATACTTTTAATAATATCATTTTATGACATGATATTAAATATCAATAAAAAGATAAAAATGATTATGATAATATAACTAAATTTTCATTAACATTGATATTAAAAATTGTTCCATGGATTTAAATCTGGGGAAAATAAATATGGTGCTTTTATAGTTATGGATATCAATTTCATGCTTTAGAGCAGTTATGACTTCCATTTACTAATTTATGTCTGTTCAAATGTGATAGTATATATTCCCATTTACTAAATTATCACTTTCACATGTTAATAATAGCAAAATCTATTTCAATAATATCATATATTAGTACAAACAATATTAATTAGGAACTAATGCAAATGGCTCGATAAACTTTGAATAAACCTACAAGAAGCATTTTTTAAATATAGATTTGTCAATATTACCTTTCTGTATAAATCTAATCTATATACAAGTTTTAATATTTTTCTGTTATGGTAAACAGAATTATACTACAAAAACTGAAAGTTTTTTTAGATTTACCACAAAGTCAAGGAATGAAATATACTGGAATAAATCCGCCTTATGCGAGTCCGGGTTTCAGTCAGTCCGGGTTCATAATAGCATTGTTTGAAAATTTCGAAACAAACTAAAGACAAAATAAAAATAAATTCTTAAAAATAGTACACAAAATTATTTTTTATATAAATGATTTTTTCTTCTCAATTATGTCTCAATGGTTTCAAACAGTCCAGGATATTAGCCAAACCGTTTTCTCGAAATATGCGAGGGTTTGCATGTAATATTTAATTTATTCAACGTGACTACTTGATGATGCACAAGTAAAAGTATTTTTAAAGTACATTTCTTATACTTAACACATTACTATGTATAAACAACATAAACATTGTAAATCCAAATATATGTATGAAATCGAAACAAGTTTGACTTTCAATTAAACCAGTAGTCTCCAATCGGTAGCCCGCTGATCAAATAGTAATAAAGTATACAAAAAAAAACAGAAAATGCAATTAAACATTATTGAAATATTTTGTTCAAAAAAGTCCGCTAACTTTCAGGTAATGCATTCGACCCACATGCAATATTTGAGTTTGATATCACTGGATTAAACCTTATTAACTCAAAATTTAATTTAACTGACAAAATATTGCATTATATTTGTATTATATATTTCCGGTTTTAAAATCTAAATTCTAAGTTTAGAAGCAAATTACACTTTGTTTTTCTCATATACAAAATAAATGGTGTCATAACCAAAATTTGTTTTGTAATCTTGGGCTATGGGCAAAAAAAAAGGTTGCAAGACCTATACTAAAATTGCAAAAAAGTAGTATACATTATTACATCATTTATGTTGATTATATAGCCATGATTTTTGTTACTTTTGCCTAGCTAAATTCAAATCATATATATCTTAAATCTAAATAGTTAAAATGCAATAACATTCAGAAATAAACAACATTAAGATGGTAAAATATATTTTTTTGATCTCAACGATTATTTTATTAAAAGCTAGGCAGTTTCTAAAAGTAAGTCTAAGAGAATTAAATTTATAAAACCTATGTATGATACAATTATGCAAAAAAAAAATGCATTAAAAAATGTTATAGTTGAACTTTAACATCTTTTAATGCATTAGTTGAACTTAGGATTATTATAGGAAATCCGCATCTCTCATTATAATATACAGATAAATCAAAAAACAAAAAATCGTTAATCTTTGAAAAAGCCATCAGTGATTAAGTAAGCTTTAAATTAATTAGCGCGCGTGTAAATAATAGATGAATCCATTACTGAGTATTTCTGGGCATTAATATTCGAGTCCTCTTTTCATCCCACCGTTGATGTTCGGCGAAACAAAGGTGAAAACCGCGTTGCGTGTGGCAGATGAAAGCTTTGTATCTTTTCCTGCGGAGGACACGTGTATTCCCAGATGCACACAATGCTCGAAGAGAGATTAGAGAAGGAATACTGCCGCTATTATATATTTTTTCTCTTCTCCTTCTATACTATGTGTTTTTTTTTGTTGTTGTTGTTATTATTTTGCTTTATTCCGTACTTCTCGTTACCACGAAAGCAGATATTAAAAAGTTCCTACCAAAAGAATTTCGCACTCACAAAAGCGCAGACACCTTTTGATGTTATTTGTTTATTTAAATATTTCTCATAATTTCTGAAACAATGACACACACAAAAACAAAGTTATTTGAAAAAAAATACGTTTACTTTTAATCGAAAACTTATGAACTGTACAACTTTATCAATTTTGAAATGAAATAACGAGTTATTCTTTGTTTAAATTGATTTTGCTGAAAATAAAAAAATGGCATAAAAATGTACCCATTCTATTATTTTTTTTTAATAATGGAATTTATCGCGAATTCTTATTTGAACGTGTGTGCATTTTATTAAAGGAAAATTTTTCAATATGGCAAAGGTGGTGGTGTTGTATACCAAAAAATTCCAATAATTCTTTATCGATTTTGTATGGAAGTTTTATTGCGGCCAAATGTACACGCACGCATATACACAATGAGAGGGGGTTTGGAACATAAAGGAAAGTATCATCTGTACACCGATATTGTGGTTGAGCGAATAACATGCCTCTGTATTTTATTGGTAATTTGCAATGTTTCTGCGTTTGTGGTAATGCCATATTTCTTTGTAACGCATTTATATTGCATATAAAATAAATCAGTCGTATGAAACGAAGTGATGTATTTCTATCTTAACATGTGAAATATCTTATTCAGAACATATGATTTTAATAAGAAAACGAAATGATATTTTCACAAATTATTTTTTTTTGAGTATTTCGTAATTGCCTCAAGTTTATGTTTCTTACATTTCATAGCAAGTTCAAGTTATATATGGTCAGAAGATGTAGTAAGAAAGAAAATTACATTACATTATGAATTTATCCAGATTGCTCAATTAATAGGTTTGAAAAATGACGATGAAGAAGTTATTAGAAATTTATTAATTTGCAGAATCATATTTTTTTTAATGGAAGATTTAGAAAATATTGTTTGTAATTAATGCAAAGAAAATTAAGACATAATTAAAGAAGTTTCTGAAAAAAAAGTTAACGAAGATTTTATTTATGAGAGTCCAGTAATTTCATCTTAACATCTATAAGAAAACCTGAAGAAAATTTAAGAATACCTAAAAAATAAGAATTTACCTTTACCATCAAAAAGATATATGTTTAATGGTAATGGAAAATAAATTATTAATAGATTTTAGGCATTCCACATGGGAGTGTTTTGGGTCCAATTTTATGTCTTTTATATACTACAGATATATCAATGTCAGACAACATTTGAAAGACCATAATTGTATCTTAACACCTTCAAGAAGGACTTAATGTGCTTAAGATATGGTAATCAAGTTAAAATTGGTTCATTACCTTTACTTTACAACATGTTATTGCCAGCATCTTCAAGAATGATAAGACCATGTTTAGGATGTATAGGCAAAACTCGAAATTTGCAATTGACTATAGTAAATAAGCCGGTATTTAAAGTAATACCAAAAACAGTTAACTCATAAAAAATGGATAATATTCAAATATTCTAATCTAATTGTCTTGGAAGAATCGCTGGAAGAATGAAGACAGTGGAAGAGGTTGCCAAAAACTATACCAAGAAATACAGAGACAGAAATACTCTGAAAACATGAATTGGCTTCAATTTACAATACAAACAAAATGTTTGTACAAGCTATACTGCCACTGGGCAGCAAATCAATATAACAATATAAAAAGACAATTTTAACAAGAATCAAATCAAATAAAACATAATTAATTATAATATTATTTTATTCACAATTAATTATGTTTATTTTTATCATTAAGTACATTTGATAAAATAATATTAATTTTAGTAAGATTACTTAATAAGATTTTGTAATCACTTGGTAATAACATTATTTATTATATGTAAGGAATTTTGATTAGTAAGTAATTAAATTAATATATCGAAACATAGGAAGCGTATACATGTTGTCTGGTGTCAAAATTGAGATTAATATATGCATATCATTGGGATAGACCTGCGATTGAATTATTTAGTATCCAACAAACGCGCGCGGAAAATGTTTGCTAATTAGCTTAGGGATGTTTATTAATTAACCGTCTATTTCTGCTTAATAGGATTACACAACGTATTTACTGCATAGACTGTATCACACGCCATTCATGTATAAGAACTTCCACAAGCTGCACCACAAGTACAAACAGCCAACCGCTTTCTCAGTCAATGCCATGCACCCATTGGAAGCAGCTCACATCCAAATGCACTACATCGTACCGCTCTTTGTTGTTCCGCTGCACTGGGGTAAGTTATAGGGAAATAAGTCAGCAAAAAAAAAAAGTAGAAAAACGAAGAACGTTGAACATCGATCGATGCGTTGTATGGTCGAAGCAACCCATTTATGAACCTTCAAATTTTCGATTTTCAGCGATTTATTACGGCTTACAGTTGTATATTTACTATCACGGCATAATCGATCATTCCGGTGTCGATTTCAAAGCACACTGGTGGCAGCCCTGGCAGCCGGATGCGATTTTCCACGACAATCACCATCAATATTACCACGTTAACTTCGGCTTCAATTGCTTTATCTGGGATAAGGTTCGAACGCACACATACATTACACAGCCAGTTCACGATTTACTGCGAAACCTTTCTTTACTTGTTTTTTTTTAATAATTTACTTGCAAATAGCTAGTATTGATTCTTATTAAAAACATTAGTTTATTGATGCATAATTGAAGAAATTCACAAGGTCGAAAAATGTAATTAGAGAAAAATTTAATTAAATTATTTAATTCCCTCATAATAAATATATCAATGTCTCATAGTTCAAATACGATCCGTTGATTTTTATAAATTAATTATATTAACTTTATAATCAGTAAAGTTTACATCAATAATGACATTCTTTACATTCTTAATATGAAAAATTTGAAAAAACTATACACTTAAGAATAAAGTGAAGTCATTACTGTAATAATTGTTATATGCATTATAAAATGAAAAGAAAATAGAAAAAGAAAATTGTATTAGAATTATCATTTAAAATAATCAGTCAGAAAATAATACATCAATAATTTTATTAAATAATTAAACTTTAAAATTTGTAAAGTTTAAGTTTCCTTAGTTGATCTACGTTCATATTATTTAATAATTGAAAACAAATTTAATAAAATATCTGTAATATTTATTTATATTTGATTTGTCTTTGAATTAATAAAGTGAAGTATATATGAAATATTATATCAGCATAAAATATACGGTATTTTTTTTCTAAAGTTATTTGGAAAATTTCAAAAAATGAAAAACGTATGATTATTTAATGATTTATTTTAATATAAGTAAATTATGAATTATTATCTAATACTATAGAGAAGCTGTAACTGAATAACACACTGATTTAAATAGAAAAGCAATTTTATGATGAAAAGAAATGCAACTTGTAAAATTTGTTAAAATATTTAAATAAGAATTAAAAGCCTTTAATAGTTAATGGTAAGATTGAAACTCTTTTAAAACATATTATAAAAGTTGAAGAACCAATTAATGAAAAAGATTAAAAATGTCTAAATATTTATCAGATAAATATTAAGAAAAAAGTTAGTTTTCGATTATTCTGAAATTGTAACATTATTAGATATATTAAATATGAGATTGAACATATTGATTTTTTTTGTATTTATTATAATTAATTTCAATTAATTTATATTGATTTAGAGTATGCAATTTTAATTACTAAAGTATTGAATTCAATTAGTCATACTATGCGAGATACTGCTCTAAATCTATGTTTACTAATTAATATATCTATGAATAATAAAGTTATTTTGAAAGGTAACCTAACTATAATACGTATCAAAGACATCAAAGCATATATATGCTAATAAAATTTGATTTTCTATTAAAAATAATAATAAAAAAAATTTAGCGTTATCTTACACAGTCCGGTTCACGGACTGTTTAAAACCGGACTAATCGAGGAACTAAATACATAACAAAAATAAAGCTTGCAAGAGGAGACTTGATTGTTTAAAAAAAAGATAATTTCTGTACAACAAAACTAAGTGCTATTTTTTTAAAGAATTTGTTTATATTTTGCTCAAGTAAAATTTAATTTCTTTTGAAATTTACTATAGAATCCGGACAATGTAGTGCTGTATTGTGTTTTGAAGATTTTTCATAATTATATGAATTAATCGGAGTACCTCAATTGTTAATCTGAGTTTACAAATAAAAAATGATCTCAAACGACTTAAAATAAAGAACACATTTATTGTGTCACGTATATAATTTGCTCATTATGAAAAAAGCAATCCTTTTATAGAAATAAGTTTGAAATATGTAAAATAAACGTAAAATAATTTTAATTAATAAAAAAATATATCAGATTTGGATGTAAATGTAAGTTTACGAAAAAAAAGAAGATGTTTTCGAACAACTTAAAACAAGCTCGTAACATTTTCTGTCCCATCTACTTCAACATTGACGTACATAATTTATTCATTTTGAAAAGGGGATCCTTTTTTAACACGAAAATCACTACCTTGCTAAATGAAAGTAAAGTATCATTATTTGATGAATTGAAAAAGGAATGTATACATTTTTTTAAAATTCTGTTGCCAATAAAAATAAACATATTATCATGAGGTAAAGATTTTCTTCAATATTAATTCAGACAATGCGTATGACCAAAAGTTGTGTTAATGATATAAAATCACCTATGGTCATTAGCCATTTCGAGTAGTTAATCTTGTTTTATCATTATTGTTGTGAATTATAATGTTTAATATTGTTTTAGACCTTTGAAATAAAGAGTATTATTATTATTATTTTACTAATATAAAATATTTTTAATATTTGTTAAAAAAAGCTTACCATAATTTGATCAATGGAAAACAGATAACAAATATTGATATTCCATTATAAAATAATGAATTTTTAATAATGTGTCATTTTTAGATATTAAACTTCGGACTATACGAGTTTTATTTGTTAATATGTATTTTTAAGAATACACATGATTTTTTAATGGTTTTAATAATTTAATGTGTATCATTTTTTGACATTTATTCGTCTAGTTAAAGGGTCGTTAAAACGTGACTCCAGAGTAGCATGTAGTTCTCTAAATTAGTAATTGAGGCTCTTTTAATTATTAAAGTATCATTACGTCTTTCTTACAGCTTCGTACATATTTGTTTATCACTTTTTCACTCCAAATAAGTTGCTGACCTCTGCTAGACCTATAATATTAAAAACAATATATTTAGTATAATTAATCATTCCTATATAATATTTTATATTACTCTTTATTTCATTAAAATTAAGTTTCATAGCTGAAATAATCATAAATTCATAGCGATGAAACGGAGAGTAAAAAAACAAAAAGGATAAATACATATTTTTTTCCCTAAAATGAAACGTCTCGTAAATCAAGGACTGGCTGTATAAATTATAAAATTACATCCTGGGATTGGAGGATGTCTGTGCGAAAGAAGAAAATTACGAGTTTTAATTATTTCAGCTTCACGGCACTCATAGGCGCGAGGACAGGATCTACAATGAGGGGATATTTTACGGAGGTGGAAAACCCCTTTCCGCGGCAACCCCGGAAGAGCGGATAAAAGATTACGAGGAGCGTCTTAACGAGAGAGCCACGTAGACGTAAACTTGTAAATAATAAAAACTCTATAGATTTCCAAACGTAATTTATGGATCGACCTAGTTTCGCCGTTTTTGAAACGCTAGTTTTACTTTATTTTTTATTATTACTATTTACCAAAACTTTCTGCAATACATTAATGTTTTCAACATTTCTTCTTCTAACGTTTATATATTATGTTTAATCTAAAGTTTAATAATTCCCGTAACTGTAATAAATTAATTAGGTAATGTATGTTTTATTTAATAATATTATCTTAACAAATAATTCCAGGTTTGTATAATTTCATATTAATACCTCAGGCGTATTTGAAATTAAATTTTGAAATACATGAATGCATATACACAATGAACCATTAACAGCAGTCTTTCCGTCAAATTAAATTAATTGAATAATGTGAATAATTAAACATACAAAATGTAATTTACAAAATGTTGAAATTGCTACAATTTAATTTCACATCCAGATTATTGGAAATAGTCAATTTAATTAATTTCTCTTATCATATTTAAATATGATGCAAAAATGATATTCTTACAAACTTACCGCTGTAACATAACTACAACTTTAAAATTCTAAGAAAACAATCAACCGAGACAATAAAAGTATGGTGAATTTAGTAATGATGATCGCAAATTAATTTTGCATCATTTATTGTAAAATGTCAAAGAAACAAACAAGGTGCGATAAATGGCGCTACTGAGAAATTTTACTGTTCTCGGTCCACAATTTAAAAATTGTGTAAACAAACTAAAGTGTGTAAAATTAACAATGTGATGATTATCGTTGATTCCCATAAAAATAAATGTGGTTATAAGCCAAAAGACTAGTCAACAGATTCAAAACGTTTCCATAATTCCCATCTGTACATTACACAATTCTCAAAAGTACATTATACGATAAATTGTAAAAAGGAAAAGAAATTAAGAGAGTTATAAGTTTAAGGACTTCTGTAAAATGTGATAAAAACGGTATTAAAAGACGTTTTTTTTTCAAAATAAAGTATGTTAAACTATTGTGTCTATGATTGATCTATGTTTCCTCTTTGAAATAATAAAAAAAATGTTTAGTAATTCCTCATTTTCATGCTCCTTACGAAACGTAGCAATTATTTTGGGACAAAAATCAAAGTGAAATGTAGCTAACTACAGAGGAAGTATTTTATAATTATTTTCCGAAACTACGGAAAATAATTATAAATAGTTATAAAAAAAAACTCTTAACTTTTTCACTGAAGATGTGAATCTATAGATGAGAGTACTTTATAATTCTTAACAGTTAAGAAGTAGGCAAATATAAAGAGCATTATAGTAATAGCTTACTCATTGATACAGGACTAATCGAGACAATCTGTCGATTTTGCATCTTGGTTCCGTGATCAAAATATGAAGGATATGTTTTGATCGGCCACTGCCCGCGATGGAATATGTTGATTCTGCATCTTTTACTGATATGCGACGTCTGAGTTGATAAGAAATTATGTGTTTTAAAGATTTGCGCATAACTGGTTTTACCGGTTATTATTGAGAAGATATATTTTGATAAGTGAAGTGAAGAATCAAAAGAAGATTTATACAAGAGGTATATAGTTGTTCTTGAAGGATTTATGAGATTTTATATTTGTTAACAGAAATATTCTGTTTCTTCATATTCTTCCTTTAGTATTTTTTGTATTACTTATCAATATTATAGTATTGTTGTATTGTATTGTTGTTCTGAATTACCTATTAAAGAATTAGTTTTGAGTTTTTTGATATTTTTATGTTAATATCATTTATGTATAAAGCAAACATTTGTGTACTATTTTGTTTTTAATTTATTTTATTTTGCTTAATTATAATTGTCTTTGTCGTGAAATTTTTAAACCGGACTTATCGAAGGTTTACTGAACATGTTTCTTAACATATTGAGTTTTTCTTAATTTTTAATTTATTACAATATTATCAAACTTTTTTCTTCTAAAATTCATATAAAATTGTGTTATTATTTGGTATTATAACATTTTATTTTAAACAAAAAGATATAACATTATGCACAGATATTGAGTTTATGATTATTTGATCTAGTTCTATGTATTTCCTGAATTTCAATATTAAGTTTAACAAATATAGTAATACCTCGCATAGTGCAGGCAAAGAGTACCACCACAATACCGCATTGTTTGAAACCGCACTAATCGCATGAAAATGAATAGCAAGAATAGAGACATGGCAATTTATTTAGAAGTTATTTTTATTATACTTAATTACAATGTAATGTATGAGACATTTCTGCGTTTTTAATGTGTCTGTTGATAGATTTAGTTTTTGGTTAAAGGAAGTGTAATATAAAAAAATGTATACATGAGGTTTGACATTTGATCATGAAAAATCTATGTAATTACTCGTCCCTGAGGGATGATGCTCTGTGAGCGAAGAGGGATAAGAAATTTGGGCATTTTAAAGTTTGTCACGGATGTGTGTCGCGGAATAAATGTGTGAAGTTTTTGTTATCAATATCAATTTAGAGAATTCCCAGCGGACGTTTCGACATGGAACAGTGAACGGAAGCAACAGAGATGGGGAGGATGAGCAGAAGAGACAGAGGCCACCACCATCCTCAATGAAATCGATAGTTTCAAAGTTTAGTGTCAGGTTTTATGATCCATAAAGCAACTCTGATGTGCAAGTGGAACATTTTATATGGTTATCTAGTTCTACGGATATCGCCGCTTTTTTAAAAACTGCATCTCGCCCAGAATTTTTTTAGTGCCGTGACTCTTCGACCGTAATTAAATCATCCATTAATTCGTACACTTACAAAGTAAATCAACGCCTCGATTGCTAATTGGACTTTCCGGACGTGATAGGAAAAAACAATGCTGAAAACGTAAAAAAGAGCGGGAGCTTCATTTTTCCTGTCTCCTCGTTGTGAAACTAATTAAGTTCGAAATCATTAATCACCGGAGGATTTGATACTAATTTATAGCTTGTTTCGTATAATGTAATATTAGTCAATATTAATGGGTTATTAATTAATGCTTGCTACACTGGGTTAAGATATTATTCATAAACCATAAAATAAATTCAATAAATATTTTGCATTCTATATATAATTATAATCTAATTATAAACAACATGTACATGGGTCCATAATTTGCAAATAAATAGAACAATTACATCATCCGCTAATATCTCGGACTGATCGAGGTCTTTAAAACCACATAAAAAGGGATATGTATAAATAAAGTATAAGTAAGTAAATAAAATGTGATTTTTTTTTATTTCGAAAATTCAAATTATTTTTGTTTTGAAGTTTTTAAAGCAAATCGGGATACCGCACTAATATACGTTTATGTTATAATAATCGTGTACAGCACGTGTTTATTTCAAATGTATTATTCATGAATCAAATAATGGAATATTATCAATCACATTTATTATTTAATGACTAATGTTTAATGGTCCTGATTTGGGTCAAAAATTAATGACCAAAGTCAAACGATGTGTCACATTTTATATTTTATCAATTTTATTGTTATTAAAGTATACACTTTATTAGTACAAAACATATTTATTTGTCTCCTATCTTCCTTGTAATTACAACTTTATAATTTGATCTTTGAACTTCAAGTGAATTATATTTATATATTATTATATAAAAAGTGTAAGTGATGTTTTCTTGAATATTTATTTATGAAGACATACTGACAATTGTTAGTAATAGATAACTGATTTGTATCTATATTCTCAAGATTTAGGACTAACAAAATATCAAGAGTTGGAGGATCAAATGCCAAAAAAAAAACAATGTTAGTAAATGAAACATTAGCAATTACTTAGCAACAATGATTAATTTTGATTTTACTTGAAATTAATTTTATAAACTCTATGGCAAAATAAATATTTATAAAATTCTAGTTTAGTATGTTAAAAGTCTTAAGACAGAAGCTAATATGAAGATCTGTAATTTTATATGTTGAGTCTTATTTTATACAATTTGTAAATTTGATTATCTGTGAGTGAGAAGCAGAGAGGCGTGAACAAGGAAGATGCTAGAATCTGACTGCTTCAAAAAATGGCACAGAAAGGTGAGAAAGGTGCCAGGACTCTAATCCCACAAATAGAGCCCTCTATAAGCAATAAGCACGGTAAAACAACTTTTCACCTGGACCAAGTGCTATCTGGTCATGGATGCTTTGGTAAGTAACTACATTTCATCACGAAAAACGATGATGAAAGGTGTTGGTACTGTGAGAAAGACTACAGATCTAAGCACACGTTTTTTAGATGCTACAGATGGGTCAGAATAAAACACGAGGCATAGGCAGAATTGGGGTTCTTGGTATAGCCGGAAAACTTTGTTAGAGAAATACTGAAGAGTGCAGAGAACTGGGAGATAATACCAACATATGTAACAGATGTGCTATTTGCTAAAAAAAGACGATCGGAGGCTGCCGAGGGCGTACCATGAGAGTGGTAGTGTGGGCCAGCACTGACGCAAGTGAGTGAACGAAGGGAAGTGCCAGAGAGCAAGGGTAATCAGAATCGCAGAGGTGTACCAAAATACAGGTCCTGTATGCTGACGAAAAAGAATAGAAGTTTTAGTAAGGTAAGAATCCCTTAGTACCTCGTCACCCGTGGTCCCTATGTAAGGTTTCCTCTCCTCTGTAAAAAAAAAGTAAATTTGATTATATAATAACATTGTTATCTTCGTTATACTTATCTATTATTGAACTTTATTTATAATTCACTTTTCATTTCACTTTGCAGGACAGCTTCTATCGAAAAATATTTATTTTAATAAAATCGTTACTTTATTTTATAAGATTTTGACATTCAAAATAAATATGACAATTACAATTTTGATTTGGTTTACAATTATTCTCAATTACCCAATTTATATGGGTTGTTTTGATTCACATCTTTACAGGGAATTGTCATTAAACAGATTTTTTTTATTACACGTACTGTCGTACCTCTGATAACAAAGTTTCGACATCACTGTAAAACTATATATATTATATTTTAAAACATACTTTTTTTTACAATGCAAGATTACATCTATAATTGAA